AAGAAACAAAGGAACAGTAATCCCTTTGGTTGAAAATTGACATCACTGTGTTGTATCTGCCATTGTTTTACATTTGGCTAACAAAGAGGGCTACACCAATGTGCGCCACAAAGATATTATTTCATGTAAACTCAGAACAATCCCAACGACCTCCCACTGGAGGAAACGAAGGGTTCTGAGCATCAGAATCGTTTACAAAAATGTATGTACAGGATTTGTTGACTGGAATATTGGGTGTAATTGAGGCTCTTTTTCTAATTTTATTAATATTTTCATTGAATTTGTCTTTATTGATGTTGTAATTGTTGAGTTCGTTGATGTATTAACCAACTAATTGAATAAAGGTTTGATTATCCCAATTTAAGATTCCATTACCCAAATGTGTGAAGGAAAAAAAAGGTAAAGAAATCGACAGGAAGAAAGAGAACCAAAGAGGAGGATTAACCCTCAATCTTTGTCACGTTTAGAATGAAATCGTGATAGAATTAATTCGAATAAAGGAAGAAGGAAGCGCTGATTAAGAAAATTGAGACAAAAGAATAATGTGTGAAGATGAAGTCAAAGTACTGATAGAGTGTATCATACTAAGGGATCGAATTATCGACTGATGGTAGATATCACTTAATCACAAGTATGATGATCATTGGTCAATCTTCTCAGTAACTCTGGCAGATATTGATCAGTCTGATAAAATTTTAAATGATTGAAGGATGTAAATTCGAACGGTAAAAAACAACTGACTTAAACAAATGACAAAACATTGTCCTTAATAAGAATGGAAATTTTGAATTTAATAAATATATTATGAATTGATCGATTGATCAATAGACTGATATTGCAATTATCATTGTGTTATGCAAAAATTGGTATTATAACTATATTTTAATGAGCAAACAAACGAATTGATTGCATTATAACTTGCATTTTATAAAAAGCAATTAGGTTTTTAATGTTTTTTGTATTAGTTAAACTGTGAAGAAAAACGTGTCGGAAACGTTGTAAATTACTTATTAGTCATTTCGAATTAACTCTCTCATTTAATTTCATTCTTACACATTTTACCCTTTTGCTTCAACAATTTGTACTTAAAAATTAATTTGATTCTGTTTTGATTTACATCTTATCGCAGGAATGTGTGAACATCTTCCATTCGTGTAATTCAGCTTTTTTTTTTTTATCATTATAAGGGTGGTAATTAAAAAATTAATAAGAATTTGCAATTTAAAATTGGGACAATACCTAGCAGAGATAACCGTTATCAGTTAAGCATATCAGCAATTACCCTCTGATTGTGTAATATCCGTCTAACTATATAACAGTGCTGACAAGTCAACGATCATTCCCTCAATTGTGAAATCAACCAAATTTCAGAAAATTTTCATTATTTGACACTGACAATGGTAAAATTTGAATTTGAAGACATAACAAACTTTCGCTTCAAAAAAATTCAAATTTCAAATTCCAAATTTCATAAATATATTCTACTAAGGCATCACATACGATTTCAACCCTACAAAAATACGATATTTGCTGTAACAAAAACAACCAAAATAAGAAAACAGATGTCACTGTAAGGAACTGTTTTCTTTACCACCGACAAATTTCATGCATGTTGCTTTCATCTTTGTTTGGGAGGTCCTGCTTCTCCTTGAGGTCCTTGTTGACCTTTTGTTCCTGGTGGTCCTTTTTCTCCTTTGATACCAGGTTCTCCTTCTGGCCCTCGTGGTCCTGGTAATCCTTGGGGCCCTGTTGGGCCATCTCTTCCCCGGTTTCCTGGTTTTCCTCGTGGTCCATCTCGCCCATCTCGCCCTGGTGGTCCTTGTGGTGCTGTTCCTCTTCCTTCAAACAGTGCTGGAGTGCAAGCCTAGAAATAAATTTTGCCAATAATCAAAGGTATTTTCTGATGTAAAATCAATCCATTAGGAAACTTACTTGAACCACAAAAACAGCATAGATAATCAATAGGAAAGTACCGAAAAAATGCATTGATATGGACAATCTGAAATTGGTTATTTGAAAAAATGGTTGAAACTTTCCAAATTTCATTGAAACTCTCAAATTCCTTGTCTTTTCAAATTTTACAAACGGAAGATAAAGGAATGTTAAAAGAGATATTTTAGGACTCGGATCATTCCCTAACGCTGACTTAACATGAATGGAACTCTCCTATCATTTCTATTTTTTAATTCCATAAGGCGAATGGTACCTGACTTTTTAGAATTGAAAATTTTCATTTGAAAAATTATAATATTATTGAAAATCCATTCAAAAATTTATGATTTAAAATAAAGCTCAGTAGAGGGAATTTCAAAGAGAAATCATCTATTTATATTGAGAAGAAGGATATCTGATATGAATCTTTCCGGGAATTCATAAAACAAAGAAACATTCCTTTGTGGAATGGAATGATTGTATCGAATCCAACAAAATGAAACAACAAGTGATATCGATGATATCAGTGAAAGTTAAAGGAAGCTTTTTAAGTGATAACTGAAAATGAATGGAAGGAAGATTAGATGGAATGATAGGTGAACAAACGGTTGATAGAGAATCCGGAAGAAGGATGGAAGAGTAGATTATGAGTTTTCGAGAGATAGAAGTAAATTTAGAATCTAATCGTTACCAGTTATTTGCAGGTTAATTATCTTTCATGAATTCTGGAAAAAATTTAATTAAAGTATTCAGGTGTTGTCTGTATCTGTACAATACATGCTTTAGTGTTACTCGAAGAGATTATACATTTTAGATTGATACTTTTTGTAACAACAGCTTAATTAAAGATAAATATTCAGTGGTATTGAACCAAATTAGGTCTAGAAAAAACCAAAAAGTTAGCGTATTTCTTCATATATAGCCAATGTACATACCATTGAAGGCCTCATTGTTTTTTTTTTTTTATAAAATGCAAATTACATGCAGTGTTAGTGTCCTATTTATGCAATCATAGTGTCCTAGTGATACAGAAAGATGATTTTTAATCTTATCACGATCCAACATGGTCTATGAAAATTTAGTATAACATTACACATTCATTCACTTATGATTCTTTATATTTTTCTTCATCATGGAATTTCTTCACGTTTATCCGCGACATTCCAAGCTTAGTTTCCAGTCCTTTCTCTTTATGCTTTCCGATTGGTCCCTCTTTCCTTTAAATCTTATCGTAGTTTGTGATTTGTGGTCCTTCACTCCTTTATTTCTTTCCTGCCCACCAAAATAAAATCGAGGGTAACTTAACTATTTGGAGAAGCAAAGTCTACTATATAAACTTATTTAATGCTAAGGTACATCATAATATTGTTATACTATTCTTAATTAATTGATGGATAATTAACAATTTACGGATAATTAATTGACAGATTTAAAAAATAACATTGGACAACTGAAATTATTAGTGGAGTAAAAGATCTATCAGATTTGATAGATAAATCCTTTGGTAGAGACAAATTTGCAATCAAAGTTTGTTTTGTCACTCATTCGGTGAAATCACTTAAAATTATCCGAAATATTTTTCGCTATGACAACCTTTTACACCATAGTACATAGTTGTTCATGCCCAGAAAACTGAACCTGAACATCACTTGAGGATACAAAGACAAAAGTCTAAATCCAAAAAGGATTTCAGAAGTTCCCGAAGGATAAACTATAAATAATCACCGCCATCAGATCCCCAAATTACTTCTCTCTCTCGAGGACTCAAAACCTGTTCATCATCCGGATTCTCTATCAGCCTTTGGTCTTCCATCGTTCCATCTCATCTTCCTTCCGTCTACTTTTAATCATCATATAAATAGTCCATTTAACTTTCATTGATATCGTCAATAATCACTTGATGTTACATTTTGCTCCCTTCGATACAATCATTCATTCCATAAAGAAATGTTTCTTTGTTTTATGAATTCCGGGAAGATTCATATCAGATATCCTTCTTCTCAATATAAATAGAAGATTTCTCTTCCAAATTTGCTTTATTAAATTTCAATTTATTTCATAAAGTCTTTTCTCATAATATAACAGTCCAAGGTAAGAATGCTATATTTTAATCAATCGATTATCATTTGTTTTAACTAATTAAGGAATGTAAGGGAAATATTTCATTCATGTAAGACTTTTGCTGAAAAATAATCTTCTGGAAGATCCAAAAATGGAATAATTGAAAAGAAATTTGATAATTTTTCAGATTTTCAGTACCAATGCATCTTTTCAATACTTTCTTATTGATCATCTGTGCTGTCTTCATGGTTCAAGTTAGTTTGTTTACCTGATGGATTGTTTCTCAGTCCGAACGATAAAGTTTGAAGACATATATCTAATTATTGACAAACTTGATTTTTAGGCTTGCCCTTCATCAAGCATGTATGGAGAAGGAAATGGACTGGAAGGACCACCAGGGCGTGATGGGCGGGATGGATTACCGGGTGACCCAGGAGATGAAGGACCACGTGGTCCACCAGGAGAGACGGGATTGCCAGGAATGCAAGGGCCACAAGGTGAAGAAGGAGAAAAAGGACTCCCAGGGTTGCAAGGACCGAAAGGTATGGAAGGACCTCAAGGACCAGAGGGACCAGCAGGAGGTAGATGACAAGTGCAACAAGCAATGGAATTTGTTGAAGATAACAAAGCAGTTCCTCTCAGTGATATCTCTGTTCCCTAACTTTAGTTGTTTTCGTTTGTAGATGTCCCCTTTTTCGCAGATGTCCCCTTTTCATTTTATCACAAAATTCGTAGGCCTGAAATTATATTTCATATCTTAACGTAATTTACTTGTGAATATTAAAAATCGAAATTTGATTTTTATCAAGTTTTGCTATATTTTTGAATTACAACCATATACATTTCTGTAGAACACTTTCAATTGTTTTTGATGAAATTTCATAAATCAAACCTCTAATTTAATTTCTGAACTCAAATTTAATGAAATTTTTTAAATACTTAAAATGCTTATTTCACTGTTTGAAATCCCAAACAATTCCATGTTTTCAATTTATACAACTGCAGGTAAGTTTCCCTGTCAACAGTAAAAAATTATGCCGTCAAATATAAAAACTGGATTGGAACTGGGTAAAAAGTTATACCTTAATGTATAAAATCGATCTAAATCGATCAGGAATCGATCTAAATCAAGAAATTGTGGACAACTGATATACATCAACGTTGTTATAATTTTAGAAACCTTAAATATGATATTGATGACGGAATTAGCTGGAAATATTGTACAAATGTTAAAAATTAAACAATCTAATGAGATGTTGCACTACCGCATGACCATTACAAACGGAATGACTTGTGATCGGTGACCTTAAGGCTTTGAAGAATTGAGACTACCGTATGTAAATAAAAGACTGATGCCGAACGAGGGAGAAGGAAGTGCTAATTAATGAATGAAAATGAAGTTGATGAATGGAAAAACTGTATTAGGTTAAATGTTAGTTGATGGCATATGTCATATGTGTAGTCACAAATATGATGACCACTGGTCATCTTATCAGTAATTCTAGCAAATTAGTTTTCGTATTAAATGCTTTTTGTATTGGTTAAATGTAAAGAAAAAACGTGTCAGAAACGTTGTAAACACATATTAACCCTTAATATTTTTCTTTAATTTTTAACTAACTCTCTCATTTCACTTCACTCTCTCATTCTATTTAATAATTTGTATCTAAAATTAATTTGAGCTATTTTGATTTACATCCTATCGTAGGCATATGAATATCTTTCGATGTGATTCAGATTTTTAAAAGGGAAAGTGAATTGTAAGCAAATTACCAATTTTCGCCTACGCAAAATATTTTATTTCATTTTTCGTTCAATTTAAAAATCGGCCAAATTTCAAAAAAGCTTTTATCATTTAACAGTGATAGTGATATAAAGTTGGTATTTGAATATGTAACAATAATTTGCTTCATCAAATTCATATTTCGAATTTTAGTATTCATAAACAAAATTCCATTAAGGAATCGAAATATAATTTTAGGCCTATGAATTTCATGACATAATGAAAAGGAAAATTTTATGACAGTTGCAGCAAACAGAAACAAACAAAATAGGAAAATTGATATCACTGAGAGAGATTGTTTCATTTACCATCGATAAATTTCATCGAATGCTTTGCTTTGATCTTCCTGCTATATCTTTTCCTTCTCCTCATTGCTTGTCTAATCCCCTCATACCTTGCAGTCCTGGGTCACCATCTTCTCCTGGTGGTCCTACATCACCTTCTTCACCTGGAGGACCTTCAAGTCCAGGGAATCCCTGTGGACCTTCATCTCCTGGTGGTCCTTCATCACCCTGCTCTCCTGGCTCTCCTATAACTCCATCTCGTCCATCTCGTCCTGGTTTACCTGGTAATGGATTACAGGCCTGAAAAATAAAATTTTGCAATTGTCTGTTGCTTCATAGGTTACCTTCAATCAATCATATATCATTCCTACATTGGTAGTATTCCATTAAAGGACTTACTTGAACCACGAAAATAGCGCAAAATACCAATAGGAAAGTATTGAAAAGATTCATTGGTATTGATAATCTGAAATTAATTATGTCCAAAATGGTTGAAAATTTTCAAATTTCTTTTGAAAGTTTACAATTTTTGATCTCTTAATAATTTGTAAGAAAACAGAAGAAAATAAAGGTAAGAGAGAGAGGGAGAGAGAAAGAGAGAGATATTTAGGATCTTTTAAAAAATTATTTTCTAACAAAAATCTTACCTTTCACTTTTTTATATTCCTTGATTTTCTTTTTTTAAGGAAAATTTAATCAGAAGAATTAAAAAATTCGAAATCGAAAAGTTGTGATATTTTTGGAAAATACAAAAAACAAACCGTAATCGACTGATTAGCATATAGAGATTACAGTTGAAAAAATTATGATATCGTCGAATATATAAGAGATATTACGATTCAAATTGAAATTTAATAAAGAAAATTTGGTAGAGAAATCTTCTATTTATATTGAGAAGAAGGATATCTGATATGAATCTTTCCGGGAATTCATAAAACAAAGAAACATTCCTTTGTGGAATGAAATGATTGCAACGAATGCAACAAAATGCAACAACATGTGATTATTGACGATATCAGTGAAAGTTAGTTAAATGGACTATTTATGCGACGGTTAGAAGTGACCGGAAGGAAGATTAGATCAAATGATAAAAGAACAACGGTCGAGATAGAATTCAGGAGATGGATGGAAGAACAGGTTTTGAGTATTTGAGAGACAGAATCTGATACACTGCTCATCAGGAATTTTTGATCTGCTTGCTCACATCACAGGAATGATTTGGTCTGATATCTGCTCATCAGGAATTTCTGATTTGCTTACTCTCATCGAAAGCTCTGATTTAATTTGTTGGATGGGAAAAATGAATTGTTGTGGTTTTGAGAATTGCAACAGTAGAAAATCAGATCATCTTTTGTTGTTTGGAAGGATGCCTAATTTTAGTGGAAAGCCAGATTTTTATGGACAATCCAAATCTAAAATATCAAGCAATGAAATTGATCTTGATGGGATGACTGATATGATGACAGGTGAAAAATCTGTACAACAAATGAGAGGAAAAGGTGAGGCTATTGTCAACTATTATTCCTTGCTAAAATTTTGCAAAAATGTACAAGCTTGAAGCAACATATCTGCTTTTTGAAGTGTTATGTTTGTTTGTTTTATTGAAATATGGAAATATTCATTAAAGATGTCACAAATTTCACTATAAATTGAATATTCCTCTTGAAAATTTGAAAAATTTAAATTACTGTGCACATAATCAAATTCAGATTTTCAGTATTTCAGACTGACTGCATTATGTTTATTGTCCATGAAAATTCGTAAAGTAAAGTTCCTTACTGAATGAACAATATCAGACTGAAAAAGATATCACTTATGCCGCATGCATGATAACCATCTTGCCTATTGGTCATCTTGTCAGCAGTTCTGGCAAACTGACCATTGAATTAAACGTAGAATTTATCGAATGAATACTTAATCAAAAGATTCAGTATGAATAATTTGACCAATAATTTGACCTGGGAGAAGTAAAATTCACTAACAACTTGATCAATCAACCTTATTTACAAACATCACATACTATAACATTGTTTGATTGCTTTTAACAGATTATCAGAGATTTCAAAATGTTGGAGAAATAAAATTATTAAAAGAGTAAAAGATCTATCAAATTTGGTAGATAAATCCTTTGATAGAGGCAAATTTGCAATCAAAGTTTGTCTTGCCACTCATTCGGTGAAATCACTTAAAATTATCCGAAATATTTTTCGCTATGACAACCTTTTACACTGCTGTATCTATAAATATTCTTGTTCATGTCCAACAACATGAACATGAGCATCAGTTAAGGATACCAAGACAAAAATAGGTCAAAGTTAAAAGATTCAAGATATTTCAGAAGCTCGCGAAGGACAAACTATAAATAATCATCACCATCAGATTCCCAAATTACTTCGGCCCCTTGAAAACTCAAGAGCTGTTTTTGCACTTGGATTCTTCATCAACCGTTGGTCCTCTTTCATTCGATCTAATTTTCCTTCCGTTCACTTTTAATCATCGTATAGTCCAGTTAACTTTCATTGATATCGCCAATAATCACTTGATGTTACATTTTGCTCCCTTCGATATAATCATTTCATTCCATAAAGGAATGTTTCTTTGTTTTATGAATTCCCGGAAAGATTCATATCAGATATCCTTCTTCTCAATATAAATAGAAGATTTCTCTTCCAAATTTGCTTTATTAAATTTCAATTTATTTCATAAAGTCTTTTCTCATAATATAACAGCCCAGGTAAGAATGCTATATTTTAATCAATCAATTGTCATTTACCTTAACTGATTAATGAGTGTAAATTAGGGTAAGGTTTTTTTATTTTCATTCGTATAAGAGACTTTTACTGAAAAATAATCTTCTGAAAAATCCAAAAATGGAATAATTGGAAAGAAATTTGAGAATTTTTCAGATTTTCAGTACCAATGCATCTCTTCAGTACTTTCTTATTGATCGTCTGTGCTGTCTTCATGGTTCAAGTATGTTTATCTGGATGGATTGTTTTCAAGTCCGAAATATCATATTTGATCATCATCTACGAAGCAACGCACACGTGTACATTTTGTTTTCAGGCTTGCACACCAACAGGAAAAATAAAAGGCGAACGAGGACAACCAGGGCGAAATGGGCGAGATGGAGAACGAGGAGAGCGTGGACCACCAGGACATGAAGGAAAACAAGGAGAACCAGGCCCTCCTGGTGAGCCTGGGATTAAAGGTGTGCGAGGAGAACAAGGTGATATGGGTGATCCAGGAGAAGCAGGTGAACCAGGAATTCAAGGTATTAAAGGAGCAGCAGCAGCAGTATAGAAACAACATGTAACGGATCGGATTAGAGATAGCGAAACACTCTTTCCCAGTGATACCAGTCTTTTGTACTTGCTTTGTTTCTTGTTTGCACCAATGTATCAAACTCAGTAAAATTCCTGAAGAACTTCAAATCGTATTTAAATGTCGTATTTAAATATTTAAATGTCCGTATTTAAATGTCCAAAGTTCAAGATATTGAACAATTTCATGTTTCGAATTAATTAATGTAAGCAGTGCTGTTTGCAACACTTATTTCAACTGAATATTACGGTTTTATTTTTATCTTTTCCTTTCATTAGTAAAACGTAACACCGCTAAATGTTCCATTGAATCCGGAATTGATCAAAGATTCAGGAGAGCTCGTAATAATCATCGTTGTTATAATCGTAGAAACTCTAAATATACAATAACATTTATTATAGAAGCTTTCATAAATATCACCGAGAATCGTTTGATGTCACATTTCATCTTTGTTTTAAGTATTCCGGAAAGATTCCTATATTAAGAATTCCGGAAAGATTCTTATAGATTTTTTCTCAATATAAATAGCAATTACTGTATTGGATGTTTTATTTTGCTTTCTTCTTTCAATGGCATGAAGTAATGCCGGCAAATGCACAAACTGATCAGGAACTGTCAAAACCTTCGTTGCTATAACTTCAGAAACCCTGAATATGATATC